ATTGGTTAAAATTGATTTTTTTACCCATTGGCCTTTCCCATACTATGATGCAAGATAACTTTGTTCCTTTATGGCGGAAAAAGATAGAAGATAAACTGGTAGATAACTTTGTTCCTTAATGGTGGAAAAAGATAGAAGATAAACTGGTCTGTTATGGTTTTTCAAAACAGTTTATTCTGTCTTTGGGACACGATCGGGCTAGATCAGTTCTAAAACAAAGAATATTAGATGTTGAACGACAGATGGACGTGAGCAGGTTTAGGAGCCCTGTATTTGATGTAAGTTCACTTAACAAGATAGCTGTGAGACCTTACATCAAATATTTAGATATCAGCAATCATAGAAGAATTTTTACCCTATTAAGATACAACGCCTTACCCTCAGCCATAATGGAGGCCAGATTTACTAGATCATTGAGGAAAAGTTGTATATGTGGGATGGGATCTGATGAAACATTGGAACATGTAATTTTCGATTGTCTTATATATCATAATATCAGGGAAGGTTTGATCAAGCCTATAGTTAACTCCTTTCCAGGTCGTAATAGAAGGATACTTTTGTCAATTATGCTGGCAGGAGATAATCAAAAGTTGACTAGGATGGTTGCCAAATTTGGTTGGTTGGCATACCAAACTAGGAAAGAGATAAAGGACAGATAGGCCTAAACCTAATTTTTGATCACAATTCTGATTTTATTATTTCTGTATTTTAAAGTTTTTAGATCCTATTTATAATTTTAGATGCCGATATATTTTATAATTTTACTGCTCCTGTAACTGTATTTCCATGTCTTTTATTATACTGGTCTATGACCGTAATAAACTTGATGATGATCAACAGAAGCTTAAGCCTGATAGGACAGAAGTGCCACTGATGGACAGAAGGTCTGGCCCGAGATGTAAGGTATCACCTGTTGTGGGTGGGATTGCACCAGGGCTATTTTGGGAGAGGAACGCACAGGAACGGAGTTCCGGCTGGCTCCCAAGTTGGCCACGCCCAGCAGGAACTCATTAGCATAATAGGCCACACCCAACAGCAGAAACTCATTCGGATTGGCTACAATTAGGGGTGTGTGGCCTAACATGCAAAGGAGTTCCTGCTCAAAAAAAAAGAAGCCCTGGGTGTTGACAACAAACAAGGTAAACGGAATAAGAAGCAAAAGGTGGGCGTGGCTGGATAACCACACTTCTGGTAACATGGGGGTGTGGCCTAATATGCGAATGAGCTGTGCGGTCAGGGGTGTGCCCTAATATGCTAATGAGTTCCTGCTGGGCTTTTTCTACAAAAAAAAGCCCTGGATTGCACTACCCTTGAAGGAACAGGTCCATTGTCTGGGGTTGCTCTTGGATCCAGGCCTGCTGTCGGAGAAGCAGGTGGGAGCTGTGGCCACGAGTGCCTTTTATCAGCTTCCCAGGTTAGCCAGCTGCAGCCTCTCCTGGGTAGATTATATTCCTGCCATCGGCTCTACATGGAGCTGCCTTTGAAAAGTGTTTGGAAACTTCAGCTACTGCAGAATTTTTCAGCCAGGATTTTGACTAGAGTGGATCGTAGGGAGGGACCCTATCCCTCCATTCTTGTCCCATCTACACTGGCTTCTGGGCACAATTCAAGAAGAAGGAGGAGGAGGAGGAGATTGGATTTACACCCCACCCTTCACTCGGCGTCTCAGAGAGGCTAACAAATATCCTTTCCCTCCCCCTCCCCACAACAGACACCCTGTGAGGTAGGTGGGGCTGAGAGAGCTCTCTCGAGAACTGCCCTTGAGAGAACAGCTCTGAAAGAACTTGTAACTGACCCAAGGTCACACCAGCAGCTGCATATGGAGGCGTGGGGAATCAAATCTGGTTCTCCCAGATTAGAGTACACACTCCTAACCACTATACCAAACTGGCTTGACTGCTGGTCTTGGCCTTCAAAGCCCTATATGGTTTGGAACCAACATGCCTGAAGGACTTCCTAATCCTTTACGAACCCACTTACCCACCACAGTCATGCTTTGGGTGCTCCCACCTTCTGAGATTAGGTGGGTGGCAAGCCAGGAGAAGGCTTTCTCAGTCACGGCACCAAAACTCTGGAACTCTCTACCCAGGAAGGTTCATCTGTCCCCTTCTGTTGCTGTCTTTTGCCGGCAAGTGAAGACTTTTTTGGTTTTGTTTGGCGTTCCCTCAGTAATCCCTCCTTCCTGCCCAACGTTTCAATTGTTGTTTTTGTGTTTTTGTGTGTCTTTTAGTTGTTTTTACTTGTTTTAATGATGTGGGGGTTTCGTGGAAGGGTTGATTTGAAATAGTTTCAATTGTTGTATTTGTGTCTTTGTGTGTCTCTTAGTTGTTTTTACTTGTTTTAATGATGTGGGGGTTTCGTGGAAGGGTTGATTTTAAATGGTTTCAATTGTTGTTTTTGTGTCTTTGTGTGTCTTTTAGTTGTTTTTACTTGTTTTAATGATGTGGGGGTTTCGTGGAAGGGTTGATTTTAAATGGTTTCAATTGTTGTTTTTGTGTCTTTGTGTGTCTCTTAGTTGTTTTTACTTGTTTTAATTATGTGGGGGTTTCGTGGAAGGGTTGATTTGAAATGGTTTAAAAATGTGTTTTTTATTAGGGGTAATTCATTTATTTAGGGATTTTTATTCCGCCCTCCCCAAAGCGGGCTCAGGGTGGATCACAAGAAACCGAGTCCGAGACTCGTTACAGTAAAATCGCATTAAAATCATTAAAACAATAAAATTCACCCAGGTAGCAGCTGTTCCATATAAATCTGTTAGGGCCCCAAGGTGGAATCAAATGGCCCCTTTCAGTGAATTGGGAACTGGAGCAGGGAGGCCAACTAAGAGAGATGCCTGCCGCCTTACACCTGAAGGCCTGGTGGACCAGCTCTGTTTTGCAGGGCCCCAGCCTCCAGTGGGAGCTGATTCCACCAGGGCGGAGAAAACCTTGGCCCTGGTCGAGGCTAAGCGGACGTCTTTTCATTGGTGGCTCTTGGGGAAATGCATATTTTGTAAATAAATAAACATCCGGCTTTCGCATGTCCAGTCCCATTTCCAGCATCATTGTTTAAAGGAGTTTTTCCGGTAGCATAGAGGACCCCTGTTTCTTTTTCTTTTTTTCAAAAACAATTTATTAGGATATATTATTAGTTCAAACATGTAACGTTTCTTTCTACTAATATTTTTTCTTAGTTAAATTTCAACTAAGAACATTACTTTTTCAATAATTGTCAAAGCAAATTAAATTGTCCTTTACATCCCAATACTTTTCTAGATATTCTCTAAAGTCTTTCCAATCTGCATAGAATTCTTCTGCCTCGAGATTCTTGAGTTTCCTTGTCATTTTGTCCATTTCAACCATGAATATTAATTTCTTTATCCATTCCCCAATTTCTGGGGTTCTGTCTTGCTTCCAACATTGTGCATAAGTCATTCTGGCAGTTGTAATCATGTACCACATCAGTGTTCTTTTCTGTACATTAACCTCTTCCATTTTAAGTCCCAACAGGAATATTTCAGATTCTTTTTTAAAATTACATTTTACATTTTTTTCCATTTCTTTATGTATCTCAGCCCAATAACTTCTTGCCTTAGGAGGAGCCCTGTTTCTTAAACTGTAGGGAGTTGCTGCCATGCAGAGTCGATGGCATTAGGATGTGGGTCTGTGTTGCTGTGGAAACCTAGCACATTACATTTTACATTTTTTTCCATTTCTTTATGTATCTCAGCCCAATAACTTCTTGCCTTAGGAGGAGCCCTGTTTCTTAAACTGTAGGGAGTTGCTGCCATGCAGAGTCGATGGCATTAGGATGTGGGTCTGTGTTGCTGTGGAAACCTAGCACCTTCTATTCTCACCTTTTCGGCTCAGATACGACCCTGACAGCGGCCATGACAGTGGGGCCGAGGACACCACCTTGGACACGGCGCCCCCCTTCGCTTTCCTGACCATTGGCATGGGCAAAATTCTCTTGTCGCACGGCGTGGCGCTAACTTCACGGGACCCCGGCAACTGCACGGTGCCGTTGCCTCCCCGGGTGGGCATCTGCCTGGACTACGAGCACAGCAAGGTGACATTCTACGACGCCGTGTCGTTCCGCAGCCTGTGGGAGTGTGGCATCGACTGCTCGGGGCCCGTCTGCCCGGCCTTCTGCTTCATCGGCGGTGGTGCCCTTCACCTCCAGGAGCTGGTGGCTAACCGCCAGGAGCGGAAAGTTACCATTGGCGGGTTCTCCAAGCTGGACTGAGCTAGCCCCAGCGGGGCTTGGCATCTTGCGCAAGACGGCCCCCCCTGGGGCCGGAAAGTTTACCGAGGCAATGCACGAGATGGTCCCCCTCCAGGGCACGTTGCAAAGGGGATTTGGGGAGTGAGAGGAAGAGGCTGCTTGGAGCCTGCAAAAGACTTGTCCCTCCACTGTGGAGCAGGGGTACCAAGAGCGTCCCCTGATGGTGCCCCCTGATGGACTGGTCGTGCTTCCAGGAGAGAAAGAGAGAGGCAAACTCTGCCTCTGGAACGGGGGCACAGATGGAACCCCCAAAGCTTACTGAGTTTCTTTGAAGGTTGCCGTAAAAGGGGGTGGGGCTGAGAGCAGTGTTGCCCCCATCAAACCCTATGCAGGGCACACATTTTCCCTTGTGCCTTGGAGGAGCACCTCTTTTTCTCTCCAGTTACTCCGGTAACTCTTGCGGGCTATGGGGCTAAGGTCTTGATCTGTTTGGGGGAAGGGAAGGGGATTGATTGGGTGCATGAGGGCGGGGGGGCGGGTTTAGATATTTTAATGTCCATCCTTTTTCAAATTGTGTAATTCCATCACAGCTCCCCCTTCCATTGACCCCCCTGGTGGGGTGATTGGCTCCCACCTTTCCTCTGTCTTGACTGTGACCAGGTTTGAACTGTTTTTTTTAAACTATCCTTCTGCAATCCCCCCCCCCCAAGACCCCTATTCTTCTGAAGCTGGCTATCCACCACGTCGGATCTTCAACACATCACAAGCTGTTTGAACAGTCTCTGTTCCCAACCAAGGGTTTGACAGTTTTGAGAAAGGAGTTCCAAAACTACAATTCCCAGCATTCCTGGGGGTGGGACCGGGGGGGGGGAAGCCATGGCAGTGTAAACTCTTTTTAGGCGAGTACGAATTTTGTACTGTAGATGCGATTGCTGACTTTTAGATCATTGTGATGCCCATTAAACTGACAATGAATTGCATCCTTCTCTCTGGCCCTTTGTCAGGGGCACTCAACTGTGGGGAGGGTTATCGTGGATTGGTGTAGGGCTGGACAGTGTTTGCCACGGATGAGATGTCCCTTCCCAAGATCTCTCCATCCTCACACACACTTTCCTTTCCTCCTGCCCCCTCCGGACCTGGAGCAAGCCAAGGCCCTACCTGGCTGCCACCACCCTGGTTCTAGGGCTTTACTAGTGAATAGAGCTTCCAGCTCTGGCTTGGGAAATCCCAGGAGATTTGGAGGCATAGAGTGGAAAATGCAGAATTTGAAGAGGGGAGGTCACTCAAGAGCAAGGGTCATTGCCTGCAGGAGCGCACAGGAGCGGAGCTCCGGCAGTAAAGAGCCCAGGGGGCGGGCACATGCAACAAGCCCCACCCCCTGCTCCCAGAAGCCCTCAGTCAGAGCAAAAAGCGGCCAGGTAAGTTGCAGAGCTCCCCCCGGTCCAAAACAATCCAGTGGAACCTTTAAGACCAAGTTTTATTCAGGTACAAGCTCTCCCTCCTCTGCACGTTCCCCCCCCCAATAGCTAGCAATCCAAAACAGTCCAGTAGAGCCTTCTGACACACTTCTGGTGATGTCAGGGGGTGTGGCATATGCAAATAAGTTATGCCAATGAGTTATGCTAATGACCTCCTGCACCTCTTTTTCTATGAAATGACCCTTGCTCAAGAGGGATGATACCAGAGAGCAGGGTTCCCCAACATGATGCCCGTGGGCGCCATGGTGCCCATGGACACCTTTTCTGGTGCCCTCCCAAGTTTTTAGAAATGGGCAAACGGGGGGGGGGGACCCGGGGCGGGGGCACCCGTCCTTCCCTTCACGGTGGCATGGCATGGCGGCAGCATGAGCAGCGGAGTAACGGCGGCGGAGAATATGGCGGCAGTGGTGAGGCGAGCGACCAAGCGGAGACTGGGCCGGCAGAACGCGGAGGCGGACCGACACAGTAGGCCGGAGCCAACCGGACAGAGGCCAGCTGCGGGAGCATGCATGGATGTGCACTATGGCCCATACCCGGAAAGGAGCCGCGACGACCAGAGGAAGACCTGTGCCAGAAAAAAGACACCGACGCAGGATTGAAAAGACCTCCCGCAAAAAGAGACTATAACAACGAAGACTCCGCTATGGGTGCCTGTTAAGTTAGTCAACTCCCCCTCAATTGTATGTGTGTGGCCCTAGGAAGAGGTTGTAATGTATATGCAAAACCGCTCAGAGCCCTTAGGGGGTGAGCGGTCTACAAATCGAAGGAATGAATGAATAAATAAATAAATAAATAAAGTGGGTGGGGGTTTTGCCCAGCAGCGCGTCTAATTAGCTAGTGGAGATTTGATGCAGGTGGGTAGCCATGTTGGTCTGAAGCAACAGAACAAAGTTAGACTAACAAAGGCCCCGGTCACACGGGCCTGATATCGCGGGGCGGGGGGGGGGGGGCGTGGCTGTTTGCCCCGGAGGGAACTACTGCGCGGCAGCCGGCAAACGTCCCGCCCGATGTCCTGCTGACGTCCCGTGGTTGGGGGGAGGTGCCGATCATACCTCACTCCTGTGGCGCGGCAAAGAAGCGCCGCTGCGGGGGTTGTGTTGTTTTTTTAACCCAAGTGTTCGCATGCACCGTTGGGTGCTTGTGCGCACCCGTGGAGATTTGACAAAAAAAAGTTTTCACGACGGGACATGGGCGGGTGCCGGATGCCAAGAGCTAACACCAGAAACGTGATCTGACGCCCGCCCTTGCCTCGCAGTTTCCGGAAACTAGTACCTCGGAGGTACTAGTTTTTACAGCGCATCTTCGGAGTGAAGCCTCGGGTGAGCCACGGGAGCTCTACACTTCCCAGATGTGGCGGTGAGATCGCGCCCGGAAAATCCACCTATCTTCCATCTCTCTAGTGTGCCTAATGCTCCGTGTGACCGGGGCCAAAGTTAAGCTTTGTTAAGATAGCCCAGGTGGGTATGAGCTTTCATGTCTTCAGATAGAAGATAGATTCTTCAGATAGACCTGTAGACGTATGCATGCACACAAAAGCTTATGCCTAGAACTCACTTTGTTGGTCTTCAAGGTGTCGCTGAATTCAAAACTTTGTTGTGGAGATTTGATTGGCTGTGCAGATTTTTAAGAGCGTTGCTTTAGCAGCAGCTGCCACCACAGCACAAGGATTTTCACTGTGTGACGGAAGGTAACCCGGAGCAATTATTTTGCAGCTGGCTCCACCTGAGGCTGCCATTTTGTGTCTGAGCCCACCAGACTATGTCAGAATTCCAAGCTGCCCCCAGTCTCAAAACGTTTGGGGACCCCTGCAGTACAGTCAACTCTCCAAAGCTGCCATTTTCTCCAGGGGAACGGATCTGGAAATCAGTTATTATTCTGGAAGACCTCCAGCTGCCACCTGGAGGTTGGCGACCCTACTAGAGATAACCCAGAGCACCTCTGCCCCAAGCCAACTCCTTCTTTATCCCTAATGTGTGGCCAAATGTGAAGCATTAAGAACCGAGGCGGAGTGAACAAGCACAGGTTGATTAAACAAATACTATAACAAGGCCCCGGTCACACGGCAAAGTTGCTGCGGGAGAGGCACGGGAGTCCCGCGGATTTTCTGGGCGCGATCACACCCCAACATCTGGGAAGTGCAGTGCTCCCATGGCGAACCCGTGGCTCCCTGCCAAAGGTGCGGAGTTAAAAACTAGTACCTACTTACAACCGTGGGGCAAGGGCGGGCGTCTGATTGTGTTTCCAGTGGACTGTCGTGGCATCCGGCGGCTGCCGATGTTCCATTGCGACCAAGGGGATTTCCCCCCCCAAGTCTCCGCAGGATGCGGAAAAGCGCCCAATGGCGCATGCGCACAAACAGGAAGCGACGTATGCCACAGGAGCAGCACGGTGCGAGTGCCGGTTTGAACGCGCCATGCTGCTTCTTTGCTGCGCTGCGGACTAGCCGTATGATCTGCACCTGACGCCTACCCACGGGACCTTGAAAGGACTTCTGATCGGGCTGCCGTGCGTTATTTTCCTCCGGGGCAATTAGCCACGCCTCCCCCCCGCATTTTCCGGCCCGTGTGCCCGGGGCCCAAGTAAGTTAATAGGAGCACAGTTATAAAATGGGGCAGAATCGATACCGGGCAAAACTCACAAAGACAGAAGCCAGCCAGAAATTGACAACGCTCCCTGATGGGACTGCCTTACTTGATCTCTACTCTGTTTCTCTACCTGATCCCAGGAGGCCAGACTCACCCCACTAGGGGACAAGGAATCAACTCCCTCCAAAAACCAGCCTCAGCACTGATCCGCTTCAGGGAGTGAATGCCCTCAGTCTCTGTTTCAGGGCCTTATATGCTCGCTGTCAGAGCTCTGCTTCCTCACTAGTGATTGGCTTCTGCTTTTCCCTCCATTTCCCCTCAGTCCAATCACAAGGCTCAAAGAGAACTTAAGAACTGTCTGCAGGCCTCCTGGAAAATTCACACAAAAGGCCTCAGGCCTTTGTGGAAAAGACGGTTTCTTGAGGCATATAGGCCGCTCTTTCTTCTACCCAGGATCACAATAGGGGGAAACAATCATTTTAAAAAACACCCAAAACACAAAATATATCAGCTGCAAACCCCTTTGCAAGGGGCACTTCTAGTTCACGTGATTCCATTTCTTCTAGACGGATTCCCTCATACCGCACCGAGACCTCTTCCTAAAACACAGCCGCACCTATTCCCTTCCCTGATGCCCTTCAAACAACTAATATATTTAATTTCCAACAAGGGTGTCCCTGGATTATCTGTCATTTTATATCACTTCTGTCACTCATTTTAAAGTTCAGAAGTTGAGAGGCACAGAGGGGGTTGCCACGTTTTTCTTTTCCTCCCTCCTCTTCCTTAAACAGTTGCCTGAGATGTAGCCATTTTCACAGGCAAAGTTGTCCCCCTCCATTTCTTCAGCCAAAGGGAGGGGGCAAAAATCCAACGTTTGCCTGCCGGGTGGCTGGGTATCCATTGAGGAGAAGAGTTGTTGTTCAGTCGCACAGTCGAGTCCGACTCTTCGCAACCCCAT